GCTCTTCTTGCGATTCACTCTTTTCTATCCATTTTGAATAAACAATCTTGCTGTAATGGTTTCCTCTCTTGTTTTTTTGGTAAGTATCTGGGGTGCTTCGGCCCTTGTCCATGCTGCAACACCTTTCACCGTGCCATGGACGGGTAAGACCTACGGTCCAGATGGTCCCTGGCAAGCTGTCCAGGTCAAAATCGGCAGCGACCGGCAGGAGATAGCCCTATATCCTGGGGGAGCCTGGCAGAGCTACATCCTCCTCTCCTCGATCTGCTCCAATACTTCGCTATCATCCTACTGCTATGCTAACCGGGCGGGTGTCTTCAACAAACTGACCTCCACCACATATGACGACACGGCTATCCGGCTGACCATCAATGATGGAACATGGGGACCGCTGCACTTTGGCGCTGCCACCGACAACCCTATCTACGGCACCGCCAAGTGGGCGCTTGATTCAATTGATATCTCGGGCGTCGTGGCCCCGAACGTCAGTCTGAACGTGGTGGACCAGGGATACCAGATATACCCGGATGGGACTAACTACCCTCTGGAGCTGGGAGTCCTGTCTCTGGGGGCTCCCAGCCTACAGCAGCAGTTCGCAAACCGGGGACAGCCCACCATAAACGGTACCTTCTTCGACAGCTACCTGTATACCTCTGGGGCCGGCCAGGTCATCCCCTCCTACTCGTACGGGATGCACATCGGCACACCCACATACAATCTCGCGGGATCCCTGCTGCTCGGCGGATACGATCAATCCCGCGTGCTGGGAGAAGTCTCGTCGCAGTCATATTCCGATGATGGAGGGTTCCCAATCAAGCTTCGCGACATCAGTCTCGTGGTGATCCGCGGAGGTTCACCATGGTTGTCCTCCTCATCCTCAACCAACAGCAGCAGCATCACCATCACCAACAACAACCCAACAGGGCTTCTCGCCGCCGGCAACTCCTCAATCACTGCCAACGGAATAACCGTATACTCCAGCCCCGGGGACACGGGCAATTGGTTCCTGGCGCAGGCGCCCGGTCCAAATCTGCAGACTCCGTCGACTACTGTCATCCAACCCGAGGATACTACTGTCGTTGGGTCGGACAATAGTTGGGAGGATAGTTGGTCGGGGGTGTGGACGGCGCTCCCGATTGCTTCTGCTGCCGCTTCCACGCTGACGACAAATACCACTACTACGGGAACTTCGTCCTGCGAGAATTGTACTCCTGCGGCACTGTCCACCGGGGCCAAAGTCGGGATTGGTGTCGCCTGCGGCGTGGTCAGTGTGGGCGCGACCGCCCTGATTACGCTGTGGTGCTTCACTCGTCGTCATCGTCGTCGGGCTTCTTTTCCCGATGGGGATAGTGCTGTTGGCGGCAAAGACTGGCCTGATTCGATGCAGGGTCAGAGCAGGGCGGGTTATGAGGCTACTTGTACTACCACCAGTGGTGGTGGTGGTGGGTGGCCAGCGGGTCGGTCGCTGGCTAAACCCCCTGTCGAGCTTGGTGCATATCGCAACGAGGGTCTGCATGAGATGGGATAGAGGTCGAAGTCCTGTTTATATATAGATTCTCTATGCAACTTTTCATGTAGATATGAACCTTATCTGCAAAAATTCTTCATTGGTGAGAAATATACCAAAAATGGGTGGGTGAGTGGCGCTGGGCATAGCCTGCAGGTGCCATTGTGAATTTCCTACGCCAGCGCCGAATCAGATCGTGGAGTCAGTCTTTCGCACTGTTGGAGACTCGACCCTTGTTTGGTACTCCGAATGGCGGTAGGGGATTACGGGTCGGTTCCCTGCTTACACCCCTGTCTACATCTTATCTCTTACAGGGAAAGAGGTCCGAGCACAGAAGCTTGTGAGTGACTCGGCTGAATGCCGAGCCATGGTTCAGGGAGGGAAACAACCGCCCTCCCCTCGGTTTGATGAATTACCGTACCACTGGGTTACCACTGGGCAGGCGGCTGCAGCATTCTGAATGGCTGCACCTCTTGTTCCTTTTGGCGACAAATGCTCAGTCGAATTATATTCGATAAACTTATGCTTGATCAAGTAGATGCTCGGACCAGGAGTTGGTCGTCATGCATATTTCAAAACCAGTTCTTCTGCGGTTGCTCGCATGTATACGATCTCGCGTCCATAACATCCCCACCCTGGTACATCGAAACAAGCGGCCAAGGACACAGCGACCTTGTCCGCCCATCCGCTGCCTGTGCAGATAGGGTCTCCGGAGCTACGCCACCTTCCACCCACTCGACAACCTGAGACAATGGGTCCACCGGCACGGGACCCTCTCCCCCGGAGCAGTGATGCACGCCCGGGGCAGGGAAGAAGCGATAGAAGTCCCGCACCGCAGGGTCACGCTCCTGCACCTGACGGTAATAGTGCTCGGTTCCCTTGGGAAAAATCAGCGGGTCGGCGAGGCCATGCCACGTGATCATTTTCCCACCAGCAGACTTGAAGGCGGAGAGATCCGGGTCGTTGGTCCCGATGATCGGGTTGTATTCTGCAATGGAGCGGGAGAGGATGGCATCCAGGTCCGTGTGGTCGAGGGTGGAGAGGTCAAAGGCAGGATCCTGGAGGACATAACGGCGGATCCAGTCGGAAGAGATGGCGAAAGGAGATCCCGTGCAGTTGGTCGGGGAGCTGCAGGTGGTGGCGGCGAGGCTGCCGCTACCCGTGGAGAGAGGAGCGCCTCGCTCGAGACCATACCACTGGAAAGTGCCGTTGGAAGAACGCATTCCTGCCCAAATCTGCTTCACAGCTAGGGCTGCGGGCTTAGTAACTTTCACGCTGCTATCATTGCATGCGACGGTCTGGTTGACCAAGGTGAGAGGGTCAAAGTTGCAGAGGTCGGGAGCAGAGATCACGCCGTCAGTGACACCGTCGAGGGAATCGCAGGCGCTGACGGCGGCGGCAGTGATGGCGTCGGTCACGCACGTCGGCGGGTGTGTCTGAAGCTGATTCATGACAAACTGCGGCCAGTATTCCGCTACAAGGAAAGTGGGCCAATTAATGGCAGGGGCGGCAGCCATAATTCCATTGTATGCCGTGGGATACCGCTGCGCAAGCATGAGCCCTTGTCGTCCGCCGGTAGAGCAACCGTTCCAGTACGAGCGGTTTGGCCCATAGCCATAGAAGCTGTGGCTGATTTGTTTACCTATGACGGCTGCGTCATTTAATGCAACGTAAGCGAAGTCGTCGAGAAGAGCCATGTTAATATGGTCAGATGCATCAAGTGACCAGGCGGCTGAGTTCTGTGATACGAGGCCATGGCCACCATCCGTGGCTACAACTGCATAGTTGAGGCCGACCGCTTCTGCTAGAACCGAGTCGTCGTGACGCATTGCATAGCCGCCACCGCCAGAGCCCTGAAGCCGACCGTTCCAGCTTGAGAGGGGAAGCCAGATAGTAGTGTGGATAGCGTCATTCTTTCCGGGATGGGTGTATGTGACAGTCACATTGCAGAAGCTCAATGTAGTTTTGCCATCCTGGTAGCCGGTGACTGGAATAGCAGTCAAGTGTAACAGCTGCCCACCAAGAATCGAGGGTTGGGCGATGCCGGCTACCGAGCAGTTCCCCGCATTTACTGCCGAAGCACCCAAAAGAGTAGCTGCAATGGCAGCCGAGGTTAAAGACCGGCGGGTGAGCAGAACCATCCTGAGGGTGAGGCACTGGACTGCGACAAGCGTCTGTTGTGTTCCACATGCCGGGACATCAGCGGTGCTTTATACCAAGCCCGGATTTGCAGGTTTCTCTTCGTTGGAGCCCGTGTGGAAATTCAGGGAAGCATTTTGGTGGATCAGCGGCATCACACGCAGTCCATTCGAGCAACAACTGAGTCGCCAGGATAAAAATCCGCAGATACCAGCGTCCGTGCCATGGTGCGGGTAGCGGAGTGCTGTTTGATACGTTCCCTGATTAGGCAAATTCCCTTGTTGTGGAGGGACTCAGAGTATAGATCGACATGTACGGCAGCTCGATCGGGAGTTCGTGAGTGGAGCCGATCGGGACCCACTGCTGCTGAGCATATGGCACTGGAGCCCGCTAGGAGCTGCCCGGAGATCGTAATTCAAAACAGGGAACAGGAGGCTCTGATGACCGTGGATATTATGAGAGCCAGCAAGAGGATACCTGCGGAATTGATCTTATAGTGCTTGCGAACAGCGGTCGTTCGTGTTGGAGGGATACATAAGCCCGGCCGGGCTCTGTGAGAGCAGGATACGCTTATCAGAAGCACATGTCATGTTCGCATTGTCGATCTATCATGGAGTAGACTAGAAAGCATATAGCGTGCCTCGGTTTGAGGTAGATAATTGAGAAAGCTCTTGTTGTTTGCTAGGCATTCCCAGGCCATGGCATCGATCGCTGGATTGCAGATGATAGGCCAGCAGGATGAAATCCGTTTGGTCAGAGCGATTATCTCGATTCTAGTCTCAGGGGCAGCTAGACTAAGATTCCAGAAGGACTGTCATGCAAAGTCAAAATGCTATCTGGAAACGAGCTCGGCAAGTTGTCTGGGACGATCACGATGACTAGAAGTCATATTTATCGATTGCATCGATCTTTGCTTCGTGTTGCGGTTAAGCATCGGTCGATATAAGCGAAACAGGATTTCAGAATCAAGTCACCGGAGAGACAGTGCTATAATGGCACAGTTGCTTCTTGTTCACAAGGCTTGCGGCCTGCTTGACTGTGAAAAGGATCTGCATTGGCTTGGAATGGGTGCTTGCGCCGAACGGTGGGGAGGTGGGTCGATGCAGCATTTGCATTTCCACCCCTCGGCCATCCTGGTGAGGTCACCCACGGACCTCACGCAGCGTGATGAATGTTAGAAAAAGGGGGTTACTTGCGAGTGCACATCAATGCTTTCGCAAAGCATGATGATACTAGCTAAGCTAGTTTGGTGGTGAGGGAAGAAACGCCATGAGGTTGGGGGGTTGTATACTATGTAAAATACAGTGAATTCTCAGACGGAAACCTAAGCTTCGGCGCGGAAGAATCCCCGAGAGTCTCTAGTCCAGTGCTAGATCACATGACAGAAAGTCATGTGCTCCGCGGTTCGAATCCGCGCGGGGGACTTTTCTTTCGCTTCCCCTACTAATCAACTACGCTCATTTACGAAGTGGATACATTCTCTTACTGGAAACGAGGCGACGCTACTATCTTAACTGCTTATTTTGCAGTGTTTAGTCCGAATCTCAAGCGATTGGCCACTATCGAGGGGTCTAGCATGATCGAGATTCATGCCCCGCTCAGCGGCCTTGTCCGCAATCAATTTCCCTTGTGTTTAACCCGGTGTGATCGCCGAAATAAGACCCCTCCCACTATCTGCACCTGGATTCGATGGTTCAAAAATCGACTGTCACCAGTCTCTCAGGTGACAATGACAACAAGAGCATTGTTCCCCATGTCGACGATCGGCAAGCAGGTGGACCCGTTGGGGTGTCTCTCCGCCCCCTCAACCTCTTAAGACGAACCAAAAGTGCAGCTTGGTGTGACAAAAGGTCAGCAACTGATACGTGGCTTGCACTACTGAGTATCTCAGCTCTACAGAGCTAGACTAGGTGCTCGGCGAAGTCTGGAGCGGGGTTCAGCTTCTAATGTCGATGACTTAAATGGCTTTTCTCCCCCCTCATTTCTCCCCGACACCGGAAAAGCTCCTCCGTGACTCCCCCGCTTTTTCTTGACCCAGCTACACCACCACCAGCTCTTCCCTCCCAGAGCATAACAGGGACACATCAACCCACCATGACCGCCGCTTCAGCCCAGCATCTGCCTGGCTCGGTCGACATCCCCGTCGGGAAGTTCCCTCCGACCCTTACATCCACCGATGTCGACCCCGAAGCTATCGCCTCCCAGCTGGTGGACACGATCAACACAGCACTCAGCAAAGGGGACATCGAGGCCATCAGCAGTCTGTTCCTGGAAGACGGCTACTGGCGGGACCATCTTTGTCTAACCTGGGACTACCGCACCGCCAAAGGTCAGGAACGAATCCAGGCGCTCCTCAAATCCGCACAGCTGCCGACCAAGATCGAGGTCGATCGATCGACCGCTCTGCGTACACCCCACGTGGGCCCGATCGACGCGTTCGGAGATGTGAAAGGTGTTGAGTTCTTCATCAAGGTCTCTAGTCCCGTCATCAGCGGGACAGGTGTCGTACGTGTTGCCGAAGTCAACAGCGAATGGAAGATCTTTACTTTTTTCACATCGCTTCAAAACTTGGTGGGCCTCGAGGAGAGAGTCGGTCATCGCCGGCCCTTGGGAGCACAGCATGGCGCGACCAAAGATCGGAGGAATTGGCAGGACAGACGGAACGCAGAGCGCAACCTGGAAGGCGAACCTCCGGCGGTCTTGATCATTGGTAAGCATCGATCACTCTACATCACTCTATTGACTGTAACATCGTGAGTTGCCACTAATGAGCATCGTCATCAGGTGCCGGACAAGCCGGCCTCACCGTGGCCGCCCGTCTAAAAATGCTTGGTGTTGACAGTCTGATAGTCGACGAGGCGGACCGCGTGGGTGATAACTGGCGCAAGCGATACCACCAGCTGGTGCTCCACGACCCCGTGTGGATGGACCATCTCCCTTACGTGCCTTTCCCGTCCAGCTGGCCGGTCTTCACGCCCAAAGATAAATTCGCGGAGTTTCTGGAATGCTACGTCAAGCTCCTGGAGCTCAACGTCTGGACGCGGACCAGCGTCCAATCCACTTCGTGGAGTGAGGCCGACGGCCGCTGGACGATCGACCTGAAGCGCCGCAACAAGGACGGAAGTACCGAAACCCGTACTCTGCAGCCCCGCCACGTCATCCAAGCGACCGGCCACTCCGGCAAGAAGGAGATGCCCACCTTCAAGGGCATGGAGACCTTCCAGGGCGACCGTCTCTGCCACAGCAGCGAATTCCCCGGCGCCAGCGACCTCACCACCAGCACCACCCAAACCAAAAAGGCCGTGGTCGTGGGAGCCTGCAACTCGGGCCACGACATCGCGCAGGACTACTACGAGAAGGGATACGACGTGACCATCGTCCAGCGCAGCTCGACCTGTGTGATCTCCTCGGCCTCGATCACCGACATCGGTCTGAAGGGCCTCTTCGACGAGGACGGACCCCCGACCGAGGACGCCGAGATCTACCTCTGGAGTCTGCCATGGGAGGTCTTCAAGGCCCAGCAGATCAAGATCACGCGCGTGCAGACCGAGCACGACCGCGCCGTGCTCGACGGCCTCGAGCGCGCGGGCTTCCAGGTCGACGACGGCCCGGCGGGCGCCGGCCTGATCATAAAGTACTTCCAGCGCGGCGGCGGCTACTACATCGACGTCGGCGCGAGCCAGCTCATCGCCGACGGCAAGATCAAAGTCAAGCACGGCCAGGAGATCGCGGAGATCCTGCCGCACGGCCTGCGCTTCGCGGACGGGTCGGAGCTCGCGGCCGACGAGATCGTCCTCGCCACGGGCTACCAGAACATGCGCACGCAGGCGCGGCAGATCTTCGGGGACGCGGTCGCCGACCGCGTCGGCGACATCTGGGGCATGGACGCCGAGGGCGAGATGCGCACCATCTGGCGGCGCAGCGGCCACCCGGGCCTGTGGTTCATGGGCGGCAATCTGGCCCTCTGTCGGTATTACTCCAGGACGCTGGCGTTGCAGATTAAGGCTTTGGAAGAGGGGATTGCGCAGTAGATGTGATGTGCGGAGGGATACCGCGGGAGGTGCAGTACAAGTATGTACCTCGGAAGAAGCTGGGCGGGAAAAGAAAGGACAACAAAAGTGAAGGTTACATGATAGGAGGAGCACAATCGGATCATGCAATACATATCCCAAGAGAGAGTTTGTGTGCTGTGCTATCCAATGCATACCAATGCATAAAATATGAGTACTGTGTGAATGTGCACTGTAACTAAAATCCCGCAACCCCCTTAGATTAAGCCCCGCAAGGCGGACCCTTGTGCAGCATTTGCACACTCGCAGACTAAGCGGAAAGCAAACGGGCCTCGGGACCGGCGGCGGCGGAGGACACGGGCGGGCCAGAACTTCTATTTCTCCGGTCGTCTGCTAGGTACTCCGTACTCATGCCCTTTCTGAGAGAAAGACAAAGAAAGTTTCCACGACACTAGTCTCTCCAAACATTGACTCAAATTGGATATCATCGACGTAGATAGATAGCAAGAGTCCCTGACCCTGACCCTGACCCTAACCCTGCTGAACCCTTTTGACTCCCAAAAATACAAACAACGAAACGACGATCAACCTCCCCCCAAAAAAACACCAAGCTAAAGTTTAATAAACCCCGGACCTAGACGATAAAATGATTTATGAAGCTAAAAAAGTAAATTCCCTCTACAAAAGGGACAACAAATTAAACCCACCCCTCCATCCTCGCCGCATAGATCCCCACCAGCAAGGTCATCGTGTAGAGCACATCCGCGCGGTCCGCGGCCACCCCGACGGCGGCCAGCACCCGCCGCCGCAGCTGGTCCTGCGGCTCCCCGCGCAGGACCTTGATCCCCTTGTGCGAGAGGCCGGCCAGCCAGGGCCGGGGGCTGCGCTGCGTAGCATGGGAAACATCACCGGAGGTGGGATCGACGGGGCTTGTGGACGGGCTCCGAATGCCGAGGAGGAAACTGGCGGGTTCGTGGGGTTCGTGGTTTTCGTGGACTTCGTCGTCGTCGGGGGTCGTAGACGCCGAAGACCGATGGGTCGTGGTTGTTGCCGATGATCTTGGCGGGGGTTTGTGTTTGGGTTTTTTCTTGGCGAGTTCGAGGGTGAGTTTTTGGGTTGGTGATGAGGAGGATGGGGGGAGGAGTTGGAAGATGTAGCCTCCGCGCGAGGTGCGGGAGGCGAGGAGGGTGATTTGGAGTTGGGGGAGGTAGATTGCGTTTTTGTTGTTGTTGTTGGTGGGTGGTGATTTGGTTGTTGGTGATGTTGATGATGAGGGGGAGGACGGGGATTTGTGATCGGTGGAGCTGCTGCTGCTGCTGCTGCTGCTAGTCGCGGCGCTAGTGGTTTTGCTGCTGCTGCTGCCGCTGCCGGAGTAGTTGGTGTATATCACTCCTACTACCGGGCTGTCGGTGCTGGTGTCTTGGCTGCAGGACGAAGGAAGGTTCTGGTAGGCGTCGCTTTGAACGACGTACAGGTCCTGGCTGTGCACTTTGCTGGGACAGCCGGGGATCGACTTGCCAAGGCTGGAGGGCCGGTAGATCTCGAGGATGGGGAGCGCGCGCGAGGCGGAGAGGAGCTGTTGGATTTGGAGCAGGAGGCGCGAGGTGAAGCGGAAACACGAGGTCGATTTGGGCGGGGGGTGGGCGAAGGAGAAGACTTGTTGAGGTTGTGATTTGGGGGTGGTCGCCGTGGTCGGCCTGCTGGTTGGATCGTTGTTAGAGATGTGGTTATACTTCGGAGGTTGCAGTGTGCAGGTGTGGATGTATTGTATGTGCAGTACAGTACTGTACGTACCTGCTTTGGCTGGAGATGGTACTCTCCGTGTCGCTGTCAGTTACGCTCATGGTTTATTTCGGGCGGTTAATGCCAATGTCACTGCCAGTGCCACTCTGTAAGTTGTTGACAGTCAGAACTAATTCCCAGGAGCAGTTGGGAGACTTTAAGACTTTAAACTTCACGATCATCCACGTCGCTGTCGCTGTCATCGTATTCGTACCGTACCTTCAGCCCTGCTCCGCACGGTCATTGCGTGGTCGGGGCTGTTTGACCGACTACAGTCGCCAATCCTGCGACTAGTTCCTGCAATGCTTCTTTTTCTTTTTCTTTTTCTTTTTCTTTTTCTTTTCCATATTTCTCCCAGTGCCTAGCGCATCTGATTTGACTGGTGCGACTGGTACAAGTGGTACAACTGGGACAACTGGGACAACTGGGACAACTGGGACAACTGGGCCAGCCAAGAACGGGGATTCTTTTTTTGGGGGCTACTCTTTAGTCTCTTACGTACGTAACGGAGGTCAAACGGGCAGTTCCAGGCAGTTCCAGCGGCCGAGAAAAGACTCGACTAAACACTAAACTAAAACACTTTAGCTCCGCTGGGCTGAATCGGAGATCATAAGCCCCCGCTGCCGGACTGAC